TTTTTTTTTTTAGTTTTATTTTACTGAAAACAAACATCGGTAAGTGCCAATGATAGAAGAGAATTTTAACAATAATTTTTTTTTTTTTGTCTTTGATATTGGTGAGTAGCATCAATGAAAACTGTAAGTATATTGCAGAAAACGGTGAAGCACTATGTGCAGTATGTGGTGATGGTCATGCAAAATTACACTATGGTGTATTGGCATGTTATGGATGTAAGGGTTTCTTTAGACGTACATTGACTGGCAAATATCGCTATGTTTGCAGATATCGAAACAACTGTGTGGTTGACAGATGTTGGTATTTCTTCATTTCTTTTCTTTGTTTTGCAGCTTTTCTCCTTTATTTTTTTGCCAATTTTTAGTATTATTACCAATTCTTTAAAAGACCAAAAACATGCAAAATTATATATTTGCTTCATTACATATGTATAAAAATTGAGTACTTTTGAACAATTACCTCATAACAAATATATATGAAAATTTTTTTGACTTTAATCTTTATTTGTTATCATCTTTTTCTCTTCTGTCATAAGAATAATCTAAGCGTAAAATTTGAAAGAAAACAAAGAAAGGAAGTTGAAATTTTTATTATAAAAAATGCTGTTAGTGTGCTATAATTTTCTTCACCTTTTTCTTTTTTTGTTAATACATTGAGTAAAATACAGCACATATACCCGGCAGTAAACACAGACACACAGTAAAGTTCAACAGAATCACAAATACACTAATATGTCAGAAAAAATAATGGGTGTCATAAAATGACGACAACTAAAATATAGAGCAAAAAAAAAATGCTATAGAAAACTGGAAGTTTCAGTATCTGAAATTGGAAAAAAAAAAAACTGAAAATATAACCCATTGACAATTTTTTTTCATTGTTCATCAAAAAGTCTACTTTTCTTCACTTTTAATAACAGAACAGTAAACGAGAACGATAATGGTTTGGCGACATTTTGTACGGCCTGTATCCATCTGTTTCTGCAGTGGTCTTTTTCTATCTTAAAATCTTCTAGCCTATAGAATGATATACTGTACAAAGTCTTGACAGCCTTTATAATGAATAATCAGCCAATTAGAACAGCAAACAACAGAATTAAAAAAAAAAATCACCAGTCACAAAACTAACTGTTTCACTT